GCTAAAATCCCAAGCACTGTTAAGGTAAGGATGTAACCAACATGCATGAGCAGCTAACTTTTTGCTATGCAACCAAATGACTAGTTAAATGCCTCACTACAGAGGCCTCTAGGGCAAACAACAAATCTCATCTATTTTTCTACAGCTTTTACTAGCTAGAGAGGCACAGGGGGGCTTTGGATTGCGAAGGAAGTTGTTGTAATGGGGAAGGAGTATTGCTTTGCCCCAGTGAATCTTTTGGCTCAATTTATGCCTGTACAACAATGTAGGTCACAGAAATAAACTTGAAATAGTTAAGAAAATGAGGAAATTATTTCTATTTTTTGGGAAAAGAGTAAGTGGTGTCATTACCAACAAGAATCTCACTATAGCAAAGAGGATTGTTGCTTTTGATTTGCTTAATGCACAAGAGAAAAGCATGTTCTTTACATGCCAAAACTAATTATCATCCTACATTATGACAAAAACCCAGTCTTCCTGCATTTACTACAGTGCCTCATGAGCAGTGAAAAACCAAACTCTGGTATATTTGCTGGATTTATAATGTTTAACTAATCTTTGGATTGGGCTGAAAAATCTCACCACTTCTTCTTCTGGTGTTTGTTCTGAAGAGAATAGGTTAACAAAGATCCTTGCTGAGAAACATGTAAAGTGTTTCTTTGTCTTCACTGCTTCCTCAAGATGATAGTAAACACATGAGAAAAGCAAAAGGAAAAATGTAGTAAATATTTAATTTCCATCGCTCTTTGAAGCCACAATTCAGCATTGCCTGGTTTGGTTTTGCACATTTGTGCCAGGAACGCTTTAGACATGCTGGCTAAATAATACCACCACCAGCACTAACTTTAGATCTTGGTTTGGTTTTAGTCTGCAGAGCGTCTTTATCTAACTTAATGAAAATACTCCTGGTGACAGTCATCTTTCTCAGCTGTAAACTCCATTCTGAGAACAGTCTGTGATTTCAATTGTGTGGCAGACACCTTGTCTGGGCTAAGGTGTGCTATTGCGGACAATAGCATCGCACCTATAGCACAGGGAAAAGGAATAAAATAAAGGGTAGGATGTTAACACATGCTTCGTTCAAGCATTTTTCTCTGTAAGACTAAAGAATCACTGCTATTTACTTCAGAAATCAGGTTCTGAATTTTGAAATCTTGTTTCAGAACACACCCCTTCCCCCCATTTTAGCAGTGCATTTACAGTCATTATTAATACAGCATATTACTGGCTTTAAGCCTTTGTGGAATACAGAGAGACTTAAGTGTGTGTTCAACTGTTTTCCAGAAGCAAAGAAAAGGAAGTAGAGAACCGTATGAACTTTTGAGACCAGCTACAGGAATACTAAATACTCAGTCATGGTAATTCTTGGCTACTAAATTACAGGGGGGTTGGAACTAGATGATCTTAAGGTTCTTTCCAACCCTAACTATTCTATGATTCTATGATTCTATGGTTATATTTAAATATTTAAGTAAAATTCTAAGATAGCTTGCACATTATCACATCAAAACCTCCACTCTCATAACCCTGTACATTTGCAACAGGGGGCTTTAGTTGTCTTTGTTGCCACAGCTTTGAGTGACACAAAGAGATTGGGGAAGAAAACACCACAGCTGTAGAATCAATGGAACACTTCTTATTCAAGTACATTAAATGCAGATAGTCAATAAAGTGGAAAGCTACAGAAATACCTCTACTTGTTTTGAATGAATAAATCTGGAGAAATATAATGACAGGTAACACTTGAAAGTAGCACTTCATGTAACATGACCATCAATTCAGCTTAAGGAAGACATTCCCTTTCATGTGATGAGACATACTTTTTAAGTACATCTTTCAAGCGATGCTTGACAGATTGACAGCAGAACTCTTAGACAACTACAAATAAGGAAAGATCCAAACAAATGTAAGGTCATACTCCTTCCTCATATTGTGACAAAGACAAAATAACATTTTAGATGTTCTAGTGTACTTTGATGCACGTCAATGTTGGACTTGATCACACTGGTGTTTGTTAGTTTTATATACTCTTGAAGGACTGGATTCTCTACTGCAAAATCCACCAGAAAACATGAGATGTCTGTCATTATTCTGTAGTTCTCAGCAATGTTAAGGGACGCAGAGAATGGCCACCAACATGAATGAGTCCTTGTTAGTTGTGTGCATGGAAAATAAAGTCAGCAAGACTGAGGAAAAACAAAGCACAGTGAAATGTTGACATCGAGAAGAACATGAGACAGTGCTTGTGGAGAGGCAAGAATGGGAGTTTAACAGGAGGGGGAGGAAGCTGTGGAAAGGAGTAGAAGCAGGTACTGACCAAATTAGAAAGTAAGAGATGATATCTCACATGAGATGAACAGAAGAGCTAGGCATGAACCCTGTCCATGGCATCCATGACCTGGGAGCATGCAGAGAACATACTTTGGGGGCGGGGGGTGGAAAGCAGGAAATGAGGGGTGCTGCAGCAAGGGAAAGCCTAGTAAGCACTAAATGGTGCACCAAAAACAAAGGATCACTTCTTATTCAAGTACATTAAATTCAGACAGTCAATAAAGTGGAAGGCTACAGAAATACCTCTACTTGTTTCAAATGACTAAATCTGGAGAAATATAATTACAGGTAACACTTGAAAGTATTTTAATTTTGGACATGTGAGAGCTAAACCAATTTGTGAATTAATGAGAGTAATTTAATGTACAGGACGAGCTTTGCTATTCTGAATTAAAAGTCTAATCAGCAAAAAAGCATTTCTAGACAGGAAAGAGAAATAAATTGTTATTTTGGGGTTTTAATTTAGCTAATCGTTCATTAAGAAAATATTCCAATCCACTCAGCATCATTTTTACATACGTATTGCTGAGATAGAAGTCAGAGATCATCAATAACTGAGGAAAATGTGAAAGGATGCCAAAAGCTGCTGCCCGATTTCAGGAGATATTTTGATTTTAATAGGGAACAACAGCCTGTCGATGTCCATGCATCTCATAGACTGGATGTTAATTAATTAGATTATGATCAAGAGCTCTGTCTTTCCAATTATGTTTTAACAAAGTGATTTGTAAAATCAGGACACTGTCACTGGCCATAAAAAGTTCAGCGTACAGGATTGGAAATCACAGCTAGCCACACAGATCTGTGAAATCACTGATTTATGGTTAATGGATGGCTTATATATTGCAATTCTTTTCTCAAAAGAAGTAGAAATTCTTTAAATCATTTCAAGACATTTGGGATGTCTTCAAAATGTGCTTTTCAATCAACAGCGTGTTCCTCAGGAAGAAACCTCACAGAACACTTAACATATTTGGTTATATATTTTCAAATTCTCTGTCTTAGTATACATCCTTGTAAAAGGGAATTCTCACCAATAATATTATCTGTGGCATTTGATATGAAAATAAGAATCTCATTTCAACCACTTTTCTTCCTTTCTGAAGGAGTAAGTTTCCATTATAAAGAGATTTGATTTATTCACTTTACGTACTCGCAGCATTTGTATTTTTTAAGCTTTTCATATTAACTTCTAAAAATTACATTGTTCTTCTTTCTCCTCCTAGAGTCTGATTATTTCACAAAAGACAATTCCTTTAGAAAAATGACTTCCTGAATGTGCTGTCTGAAATGGAATCACATTTCAATGTTTTCCTCATACATTTAACAGAAGTTTCAGCATTCCAGAGGGCTTCTTCATGCGGTTACAGCAAAGGATTTCCAAATTGAACTATAGCAGCCGACACTGAACCACAAAACATGGTCCACATTATGCGGTTAAATGGTTAGTAAAACTGGAGTGCCCTCTGTCGATGATGAACTCAGGATCAAGCACTTGGGAACAAATAAAACATATACAGCTTGAAATATGTCCAGTTAAGGATAACTGCCTCCCTCTTCCCACAGAAACTGATCCTGAACTTAACACAGGTCTGGACTAAAATGCAGTATTTCCTCTTGACAGGCAACACATGGACTTCTCCACTGAAATAATCTATGAAAGAATAACACTGCTACTGTGGAAGTGCTTTTACCTCTTCATAATAACGGAGGTTATTCTCAGCCACATTAGTGAACGCTGATCTCATGTCACACTGCATGTTTTGCTTCCACCTCTCCCAGTCTGCTTTCAGGGCATTATTGGCACATTCGACTTTGTCTTCAAGTTTCCCAATCTCTTCTGAGAACTAAATATGAATTGAAAACATAAAAAATATTAGTAAAGGCACAATTTCAAAGGAATTGAAATCAAGTATTTGTAGTGCACGGAAAGAGAAGTGCAGAACTGAGGCTGGTGTTGAACCTCGCACAGAAAATCATGCCCCAAGAGAAAATGTAAGTTTTAGTCTTAATGAATAACTTGGGAAAAAATCTGAGATATTAATAATAGAAATTCTAGAGCAGAAGTAAAGTGATGCTGAAGATATTTGTATTGACTGAGAAGTTACAGACTCTAGCACCTCTTCACTAGCACTTGACAGTAACGCATCTAAAAAAGAAAATGCCAAATCAACTATGCAGAGTAGATTTTGCCAGAAAAACTGAGGAAACCCTGATAGAACATTTGAGAGCCTAAGGAGAAAACAGAATGGGGAGAAGACAGTAGAAATCAAAAGCACAAACTGCCTGATTTCTTACCTGTCATGCTGCTGTGGAACTAATGTCTGTGTGACCATATCAGAGAAATGCAGAAGCAGAGAAAGAAAGTAAACCAAAGGACTTCTGCAGAGAAGAAACTCTTCTACAGTGATCCAGGCCCAAAACCTTGAGGGCTACTATACAGCCATCACTTGCTTCTACTCACTGTACACACACGAAGTGACTTTTCAGCTAATGGGAATGAGGAAGTAGATGAAGCTGAAAAGCCCAAGTTCAATTATCTAGCCAGATCAGTAATTAAACTATGGACACAGGTAATTTCAACTGCCAACACTGTATTCAATACGAAAAGGTTAATCTAAAGTTTAAGTGTGGGGAAATCACCTTTAAAGGAATTACAGGCGGCTGGATTTTGTATCTTGGGCACGTCCCATGTTAATTGCATTTCCTTGAAATACCAAAACTGAATGCACACAGAATACTGAAAACAGTGAATGTTTTCAGATGATTTGGTGTAGGAAAGGAAGCTGAATCCATATTCTGCTTTTACAAGAAAAAAAGCCTCTGTATGGGAATGAGGCTGCACACATAAAGAACGTTTCTGACTTCGAATTCTTGGTTGTGGCAGCTTCCTCTTATCTCATTCTTCATATCTTTGAGACATTTATTTTACAGGGTGGTTTTGTCTTGCCTTTTCTAGGAACTCTGAATTTCTTCCACAGTGTAGTCACAACATGATGTGGAGAGGCAGACTCTGTTCTCAATTCCTGCCTGAATATGCAGTTTAAACATCACCCTCTACAACCCAAAAGAAACTGTGTGCTCTATCAAGGTAAGGGTTGGACTTAAGGTCTAAAGACAGCATTACACCATGCTTCTTCATCTGAAATAGAGAGTTTTAAGGTCTACTTTTTCACAGCTGATAACATAAATGCCACCCTCTTCAGCTGCCATGACAGCAGAAACTGAAGAAGAATGGCTTGGTCCAACAAAACCATCTACCTAACGTGTTCCTCATTTACACAACTTATCCTGCAAAATAAATAAGATTCTGAATCAGTTTTCTTACACTGATCTCATTAAATCAGCTAATAGGATAAATTAAATCTATCAGTGAAAAACAGGATAGTGCTCATCAGACCTCAGACCATGGGACAGGAAGTGGGAACCGGGCACTGCTAGGGCAGAATACAACCATATGTGAACCTGTAGCCGAAGAGAATTGGCCTAATAGCCAAATTACCTGGTAGGTGACACAGCATTTTACAGTTACACTATGCAAAACAGCACAAATTCCTGTCTGCTCTGTGAATTAATCCTACAGCTTGGTGATACTAATCCTTCTTAGCCTGGAGTTGGTGCCCAGCGCCAGGATCTAAACTTCCTCTGTTATAAGTTTTAACCCATTACCCCTAGTCCTATCACTACAGACCCTGGAGAAGTACCTCTCCAGCATCCTTGCAGGCCTATGCTTGGTGAGTCTACGATTCTGTGAGTTAAAACATAAGATATATTCAGAATGTGATAGATTCAGCAACTCATCTCTTTACTACTCAGTTTCAAGCCTGAACGCAAAAATCCTCAAGTTATCATTTAATGCTCATCTGTCTCTGTCAGAGCACATTATACTGACCTCTTGTCAGAAGCACTATGGCAGTACCAAAACTGTTAAAAAATCCCAAGCCACAAAGGGATGCTCTAGCATTGCTGTTTATCATTTCAGAATGGAGCGTGGGAGTGAAAAGAGCCATGAACTGGAGGGAAGAAAGGTCTAGATAAGCAAAGTCCTCCCAGACACCTCTGTCAGGGTCTACATCCAAACTCACAGTTTTCACACCTTTCATACTATGAACAACTGCCTTCTTCATGGACTAACTTTTGGAGAGGGAGATGAGGTTTTGGTTTTTTAGCAGCACCACAAGCAACTTTGTAAAAGCCCAGTGGCAGAAGCACAACTCAAGAAAACAGTTTTTCTCAGCCAATGAACCTGACGTCTCTTAAGGTTTGATTTGTGATTCCAGCCTCTTTCAGCTGCACAGACCTTGGAGATGTTTTGTATTCTCCTGCTGTATAACCTCCTGTTGGTTAAATCATCTAATGGTTGTCATGACCAATGCTAAAGATCTCGCAGGCTTTTATCAGCTATAATGACAGTCTGAGATTCCTTATCTATGGTGGAAATACACTTCAAATGGGATTAGAGTTCATGCCACTCATTGTCAGCAGAATTTCTGGCTACTAAATTGCACTGACAAGTTCAATCTGACATCTATGAGATCATTAGAAGCTACATAAGTTCTGCTTAGGAATAGAATTGTGCAAATACAGCCAAACTCACTGTTTGACACCAATTCCAATGACATTAACATGTAGTATGACCACCTTTGGTTCTAAAATCAGTCTGGTTTGAAATGTGAGCAGAATATTTCACCATATATATGTACAGTATAAATTATAACACTAAAAAAAACAGATGACGAAAGTGGTTACAAATTACTTGAATAGCTAAAAATAGCAGTGGCCAAACTAAAATTCATAGAAAAAGCCTTCAACTTCCAATGAAGAAAAAGTCTTCAGGATACACCCGCCACTCCATTGGATAACACAGGGGTTTATGATCAGATTAGACAGACTGACATCTGTTCTACTGCTCTTGTGAAACTGAAGGGAGAATCAGGCTCTAGAAAAAGGGGGTTTTGAACTGAGTAAGAAATAAGAGGAGCTGGAAAGATAAAGCCGAGATCTGAACACCTGGATAATCCCAATGTCCAAAACACCTGGATAATCCCAATGGCCAAAGGCTTTTACCAAAACTGTAAACATGGCTTTGGAAACACAGAAACAGTGAAAACAAACAAGATCTCCAAATTTTACTGGAAGCAAGTACAAATACCTCCTTACGAAGTAACCATTGTCGAGATGAACTCAATATGGTATGATCAATACTATGCTAAAGGAAGAATACTCCTTTTTGTCTGTACCAGTTCAGGAAGAGAGGGTGCATGTGCTTTGTCTGAGGAGTCCATCAGATCTGCATCAGAAATACATTCTGAAAAGACCACATCCTGCCAGCCAATATTCTGTGAAACCACAGGACAATAGAAGATAGATAGAACAGAATTTCTGCTTCAGGAAAAACCAAACCTAGACGTATTTACTTACTATCCTACTGCAGGACAGAAAGGCAAATTGGTACAAAATATGCTATAGCCATCGTAGAGCTCAGACAATGCTAATATAACTGAATTATTCAGATCAGTGACAAGAAATCACAGAAAAATATGCATTTTCAAGTACCAAACCCCATCTAAACAGCTCATCTTTACATGAAAGCTGATTACAACAACCCTAATTAAAAGTACCTGAAATGTCAAGGACCTTTTCCTTTGATGTACTAAAAAGTTATTAGTCATTTTTATGTATTCTGTGTAACACTTTGTGATAACACTGCACTAAAAGAACACTATTTGGGCTGAAGAGTTAAGCAAGAATTTTAAAAATGCCAATATCCATCCTTGGAGCAGCAGCTCCAAGAGCACTGCAGGAAATCCTCCTTTCCTTTATCTCCCAGTGTGGAAGTAAAGAGAAGTGCCAATATTAAGCTATGGTACAGACTGGGCTAACAAAACGAGAGTGGTCACCCACTGTTTGCTTTTCCTTTGCTTCAGTGTCCTGTCTTCTGAAGTTGTGCATCTTTCTCATGATTGCCTTTACAGGACATGCATAGCTACGAAGACCAAGTCATCATAAGGATCAGAATTAATGAGATTATGCAGTTATAAAGTATGGCTTCAGAGGACAACTGTATGCTGGGCTGAATCCAAAGGACTATGGCCAGCAGGTCAAGGGAGGTGATTCTACCCATCTACTCTGCTCCTGTGAGACCCTACATGGAGTACTGTGTTCAGTACTCATAAGGACATGGAGCTGTTGGAGCAAAGTCAAAAGGAGGACCACAATGATGTTCTGAGGGCTGGAGCACCTCTCCTATGGAGACAGGCTGAGAGAGCTGGGCTTGTTCAGCCTGTAGAAGGGAAGGATCCTCAAGGGGAGACCTCAGAGCAGCTCCCAGTGCCTAAAGGGGATACAGGAAGCCTGGAGAGGGGCTTTGGACAGGGGCCTGTAGGAACAGGGCAAGAGGAATGGCTTCAACCTGGGAGACTGAGATGAGCTCTTAGGTAGAAGTTCCTCCCTGTGAGGGTGCTGAGGCACTGGCACAGGGTGCCCAGAGAAGCTGTGGCTGCCCCATCCCTGGCAGTGTTCAAGGCCAGGTTGGACACAGGGGCTTGGAGCAACCTGCTCTAATGTGAGGTGGCCCTGCCCATGGCAGGGATTTGGAACTGGATGCTCTTTAACGTCCACTCCAACTAAAAACCATTCTATGATTCTATGACATGCTTTCCTCAGGGGATCATCTTTTACAGTTAGAATAAGGCCTGGAAGATTTCAACTTTCTGTACATACTCACCAGATCCTTTTCTGCCTTTTTATTGGCATCAACTTTGGAGTCGAGCTCGGCTTGAATTTGGTCTCTCCTTTTCAAAACACCCTTCATAGAGAAAAAGAGAAAGAAAGAAAGTAGTAAACTCCACCAAATTTTAGCCATCTGTACAGAAAACCATCAAACAACTCGGCTATTTAAGAAACTAAGCAAGATCACAGAATTATGCCATTTAGTACTTTGGACATGATACATGTACTTTCTAGGAAAAAAACCCTTAAAATCATGAACTTACTTTTCAGTACCTGTATTTGATCTATCTAATGTGTTTTTCAGGAATCTTGGTAAATCCCGAATCAGTGCCACAAGGATCTGCCATACATAGTGTCACTGTATGCTTGTATGCGAAAATCTGCACCAGCAGCTTACTTAGTATCAGCTCAACTTAGTATAGATTCAGCTTTAAAACCAGCAACAAGTTTGCCCAATCTCAGGAACAGAAGTACCTTCTTTGAGAAAAAAGTTACAGTATAGAGTAGAAAAAATGACTAAAAATGGTATTCCTGCAATTGTGAGTTTAACCTTCAATATTATTTTGTAAGTGCCAAAAGTAGTTCAGAAAAATCAGATGAAATTATCATGAAAACGAGAGATGTGCTAACACTGATATGTGTGCTTATTTTCAGTGTATGTAACTATTACCTCCTTTAAAACTGTCTTAGTAGATATTGGCTTTTTAGCATAATGTCAAAAATAGTTAGAAAGGGGAAGGAATGTTACTTGAACTACAAAACAGGAATGGTATTATGATTAGATTTCCACTTCCAATGCTCACTTGCTCTGTGACCTTGATGAAGCCTTAGTTTCCTCATCTGGAAAAGCACACTCAGGTGTGCTTATCTTGCAGAAATGTTACAAGGCTTTCATCCTCTTTAAGAAGAAGTCAGAAGCAGACATAGAATACAAATCTCAAACCCTTCTTTTACATCACCTTGTCACAACTGGTTTTACTGCTTCTTCTGCATATACTGAAGAGATTCTGAGAATTCACCTCTACCAGAGGGCATGTTGAAATAGCAGAGGGCACAAGCAGCTCTACCTTCTCTAGCTGTCTTATCTGACTGAGTTCACTTTGAAATCTTGTCACTTTAACAAACACAACAGAAGAATTTAGAAGGTTAATTCTCAAATAACTTTTCAACATTCCTTTTTGAACAGGTACTCACTAGAAAAATATTGGTGAACCTGAATGGACAAATGTGAGTTGTAACAGATTAGCAATACACACTAATGCTCACCAATCTTTATAGCTCAGGGTATCTTTTGGTTAGATAAATAGAGAAAACATTTAGCAAAATGAGTATGTTTGAAAAAGCTGTCCTTAAAAATGCTTTTTCTATTTATTTTGCCTCTTTTAAAACTCTTTTAATGATTATCTGGCACCTTTTATCACAAATAGTCCTTAAATTACAAGAAAAACCCAATTACTTTAATATTAATGTGCTACAACTGCAGACAAGTGCTGACTTCTAATGGCAAAGGGACTTTTTAAAACCTATTATTATACTTGTACAATGTTTTTTTTTTTGTGTAGTATTTAATGGTACCCTGCCATAAAACCCTCAAATAATGATACGTGGACCCATAACCAATTTAATGCTGCAGTTTGTACCCTGAGGCACAGGAAGACTCTGCACTCCCCAGATTTGTTCTGTTAGTCACTTAGGAAGGAGCCAGTATAGATGTATAATTTTAGCTATGAATTCATTGCTTTCCCCAGATGTAGGCTGAACTTCCAAACCTGGAAAATACAAGGATTGTATTGTATCGACGTGATCCTAGCAGCTGAGCACAAAGGTCCCTGTGATGAGGGGTTAAACACACCTCTGAAAGCAGGTTTTACTAGTGTGTGACTTCCCTTTCTTGTGTTTTTAGTGTGAGTAGAAGTTTGCCCACTCCCAACTGCAAGAGGGAAGGAAGGTGCAGGAAAATGAAAAATCCATTGTAAATGAAGGGAAAGGAACAGTTGTAGAACAGGAATGAGCAAGTGAAGGAAGATTTTCTTCTGGACAGGATTACATGGCAGCCTAATCCTGTGTCGCAAATGTTGAATAAAGAACACCATAAGCAGAAAGAAACAAGGTCATGGGCAACAGCTGTTTGTAACGTGCATAAAGAGCCAGGTAGTCACTCTGGGGCTTGTCCACAGGAACCTCTCTGTGCTCTGGACAAAAGAGAATACCTGAGAATCAGAATCACAATCACAGAATGGTTTTGGTTGGAAAGAACCTTAAGATCATCCAGTTCCAACCCCTGCCACGGGCAGGGACACCTCACACTAGAGCAGGTTGCTCCAAGCTCCTGTGTCCAACCTGGCCTTGAACACTGCCAGGGATGGGGCAGCCACAGCTTCTCTGGGCACCCTGTGCCAGCGCCTCAGCACCCTCACAGGGAAGAGCTTCTGCCTTAGATCTAACCTGAACTTCCCCTGTTTCAGTGTGAACCCATCACCCATTGTCCTATCACTGCATAATCCCTAATGAAGAGACCCTGTACAGCATCCCTGTAGGCCCCCTTTTGATACTGGAAAATAGAAAGAGTGATATTCAAAAGTAAAATTCCAGATACTGGAAAAAAGAGGGTGATGCAAAGTAGAAGGCAATGGGCAGGCAGCGTCTCCTCAATAGCACGAAGGCAAGGAATGCTCATGGATAACAGAAAATGTTAAATATGTAACGGGGGCAGAGGAATAAAACCTGCAATTGGTAGGAATCAATTCAGAGCTTTAAGCAAAGCAGTTCCTACCCCCATCTACCTGCATGTCCATGTGGGCATTGCAGCAATAATTCTTAAGCCTTACTAAGAAACTGGCAATGCTCTGTTCTGTCCCAGGAAAGGCTCAGTTAACTTAGGTCTTGCTCTGCCCATGGCCTGTAACACACTCTCAGTTCCTACTCAGAAACCACTGCAGTAGCAGCTGGGTTCCCAGCAGTAAGGCAAGAACAGATCCTGCAGCTTGCATTGCTCAAAACCTAGATGAAGCAGGGATTGTACGCGTTTTTTGCTTCCTGGAGGCAGCAGTGTAGGAATTATATGCTGAATTCAGTTACTTAATCATGTTGATTATCCATCAGCACTGACTTTGTCAACTCTGTAGTGAGATTTTTTCCATTCTCTCCGAGTGTAAGAAAAATGCGTACATAAAGGGAACTGAAAGCATCAGCTTATGGCAAAGGCTAACACATGCTTATATAATGGCACGGGGACTGGAAGCTCCCTGCTGTTCTGGAAAAAGAAAGCATAGTTTAGGAACATCTCCTGGAAAGGGAAAAAAACCTCTCCACTCCTTTTCCCCCACACAATCTGTTGCTCGATGAGTTCATATTTCAGCAGACAGGAAGGCCCTTCAGACTCCTTTCAGAGGAGGTCTTTCCCAGCTGCTCTTCCTCAAACCTTTCTGTGATCCTGTCTCTCTGCTACAATGAAGATGGCAGAACCTCATGCTCTTTAGCACAGCTACAGAGGGCTGCCTGCCACGCAAAACTGCTAAGATCTCATCTGGAAGGGGTGCCTGTTGCCTGATTAGCGAAGGAAATAGAACCAGATTCCCTAATGGACAGCTATCCCCTGCTGTGCACCTTTTGTAATGACAGTTACAAATTCTCTTCTAGAGTTTGTTACTGGACTATACCAGATTTTACACACAGCCATAAAGCAATCCTTAAGGAACACTTACCATCAGAATTTCACTGTAGAGGAAATATTCATGTAGAATGGGAAGCAGGTTTTCCGAGAGCCCTGCCATCTTCTTCTCTGTAGCCTTGCAGCACTTGTCAATGCAGCTGGCAACACCTTTCAGGGACTCTGCTATATCTTCTTCTGATGCTGACCACAGTGTGTGGATGGGGCCATATTCCTTCATTTCATTAAAATACTCTTAACAGGAACATATATGCATATTACTTTTTTGTTCATTAATAGATGTCTAAGTGATACTAACTGCAACCTCCTATTTGCTGTGAACAAAGTAAGAGACTGAGGCTAAGGTTTAAATCTGCTCAAGTGACTGAGGTAAGTAAACTGCAGTTCATTTCTTATGAATAAACTAAGCAATGAATGTCTGTAATTAAGCAGATCCTAGAAACCTATCAGCAAAAATACCCCAGTCATTTAAAAAGGACACACATACTCGGGTAGACCTCAAGAGTTGTATTCAAGAGTACCCAATGACCTGAATTAGTTCATGTTGTCTTCATAGAGAGGGACAGGAGCCATAGCATCTCTGGGCAGAAGTCAGTCTTGATTTGCTTCTACTGCCCTGAATTCCTCTGCTACAGTAGTGCTCCAAGTCCTGTCTACCAAGCCTTGGTATGTCCCACAAGCTTCAGAAGACACACTGAAGATGATTCCAGTTCTGCAGGTGTTAGCTCATTTAGTAGTTTTTACTGATCTAAATACTAGGATGTCCTACAAATTATTTCTCCTCTGTCTCTAGGCCAGGTGGTAATTTGTAAGCAGACAAAAAGCCCAGAATTCACCATTGTGCCATGTGGTAGGGCCAAACTTCAGCAAGGCTGGATATGATCTGGAAGCTGCATGTTTACAGGAGGGTACTGTGAACGTGCTGGTCATGTACTGAAAACTCAATTTCATCACAACTGAAGTGATAATAAAGAAATGTCCAAGAAAATGTGCAAAGCAGCCATGTGGCATGAACAGTGTAATGCTTCCTTTGAGATTAAATGGACAACAAAAACCTCCATGAAAGGTGTCATTAACAATCCCATGTTAAGCTACTGCAAGCATGAATGTTGTCTGAATCAGTTATCACCAGTTCACATCCACAACAGTACAGCCCTGCACACGAGTGTTCCACCCAGTGCTATTTGGAAAATCTAGGAAGATATGATCTACAGCATTTGGGAGCATATCAAAATTCATAAGGTTTTCCAAGAAATATTTTGGCACTGATGCCTTAATCCTATGGACCTCAACCAGCTATTTCCACTGAAATGAATGATATCAAAAGAAACGATTCCTTTTATAAGACACTCTCCATTTTAGTGAGGACACGCTGAGGTCTGGTACTGCACAAGTGCTCAGTTCTTAAAGAACACGGTGCAGCCCTTCAAATTATATTATACAGACAATAAAATCCCTTCAAGTGCTGACCAGTGGAAGTTCTACTGAATAGGCCTAGTCTGAGATGAGGGTTAATCTCAGGAAATCAGAAATGTAATGTTCCAAAGAGGTGCAAACTGCTGTTACTTAAGGAGAAAATTGAGATTAAGCTATCCTGCTTAAGAAAACTCTGACAGAAATTATGGCCAATGGTAAGGCTATTTAAAAACCCCTAAAATCTCCTTGGTCGACATGGAAGAAGGTGCAGAATGAAACCCAGAAAAGAAATGTTTAGAGATCTGGACTCTAGACAGCATTATGCCAGTATGAGACAGCCCAGAAAACTCTGACTGTTCACATTCCACTCAAAGTACAAAACAAAAGGTCACACAGCTTTCCAAAAAGCACAAGTAAAAATAGAGCCAAATTTGCTCCATTTTATTCTAAGTTCCTGAGCAAGTAGTTCAATGATAAGTTAAAACTCTTCCTATTAACAAGTTACTCATACTAATGTGAAGGGCTGCCAAAACAACATTATAAAAAGCACAGTAGAAACACCAATCTCCCCTTTCTCCTGCTTGTTGGGAAGAGAACTTTGCCTGGCATAATGAAAACTAATTTACTTTGCCAATATACTAATTTCTTTCATCAATAAAACTGATACTTGTTTTCCACTTACCCCTTTCTTCCTTGTAAATTCTATGAGCGATTTTGTCAAGTAGATTGATTTTCTGACTAAATGCTTCCATATAGCTGTTCATTTCTGTAAACATTTCAGGACGATTTTTAACTCCTCCTCCTCTCACTGAGGATGCTACAGCTCTGACGGTCTGTCCCATCCTGCTCAGCAAACCAGGACCCTGCTTTTTGTGGGAGGAGAGTTCCTAAAGACAGAACAAGTGTTTACTTCCAAGTACTTTCTTCTTAAATTCTCTACAAATAATGCATATTTTAAAGGTTTTTCTTCAAAGAAACCCAACAAAACTACTTAAACCTCTGCATGTGTTGGTTGTTTTTTTTTTTGCATAGAAATCTTTAAACTTACAAGATCAGTGTCAGAACTCTTCCTGTCAAGTGCATTTATTAGCTAAGCCTTTCTGGGCAAACACAAGCGTGCTGTGTATCACTCTCTCCCAAGAACCTTTACCCTTTCACTCCTTAGGGTGAGGTAGCTGGTTTGCAATTTAGCCTTTTGACAGGAAAGCAGAGGTAATGATTGCAGGAATAAGTCATTGAGAAAAGCAAACAGTGTTCCTACTGGAACAAGTAATCCATCTCCTTTTTTTAACTCTTTTTCTATGTTGCTAGAATAACCTCTGCTGAAGTTCACAGGTTTTGCTGTTCACAAACATTAAATTTTCAACTGGATACATCATGCAAAACTACAACAGGAAATTCAAAGGCTGTATTTGAGTTTTATGAGACTAGTATAACTGTTTTGAGAAAAGCAGATGAAAAAGACAGTGCCATGCCAAAACAAAAATTAATTTTAAATACCACTTTTCATATCATCTTGGAAGCTTATCTGTATACCAAAAAGCATGCAGAGTTGAGATATTGTGAATTTGACACAGAAATCCACAATTGGGCAATAAAAGCTGCTATGGAAGATACAGCAATATTTGTAGCAACACAATTTGTAACTATAAATACAGTTTTTATGTACCAAAGGCACAGAAGAAAAGGTTATCTCAGGGAATGAGTATTCCATAAATCCCCTGTCTTCCTCTGTCACGTCTGTCACAAGCTACGGGAGGACACTATTGAATCTACCGACACTATGAGACTCCTGATATACTCTACTAACACAAGACGTGGTTTCACACATCTGTAAATACAAAACTAAAGTCATTTTACCCAGGCCTGTGCAGTAAGAAAAATTTTGAAGTCTTCATTAAAAGTTAAAGTTGGATGATCAGCAATGCGGTTCAGGAATTTATGTAAAGCTTTCCTTCGAGTCTCAATGAATTCATCACTGAATCGTTCCACCATTCCTTTCATGATGAATTTTTCAGGCAATGGCTATGGAAAGAAGAAGAAACAGATTATATCATTTGCATAATATCATGGGTATTATTACAGTTCTTCCACTTACTAAAAAAACAGGAAAAAAACCTTGTAAAATCCACCATGCAAACCCCAAACTGTTATAAAGTTATCATATTCAACAGTGGTGCTAAATGAACATGGTTCTTTTAGCACACAGTGTAGAAGAATACAAGTACAACTAAGAAAGAAGGGCATAAATTACTGCAAATGGCACAATTGTAACCATAATTCCATTATGAGTATCTATGGGATACCTTTATGGGATTTTTAATTATCACATGCATGTAAAGCTCATAAAAAGAGGTTGAGTTTGATGCTTGTGAGACTTCAGAAACTGAGGAAAGGCCTCAAGCATCTCCGTGTAAAACTGAAGCCATCTTATAAACACATACAAATAAATTAACCAATATTTTAAGCAATATTTTAACAAATAATTGCACAAACAGGAATAATCAGTGTTGGATGTGCTTCTTCAAGTTTGCTCTTCAACCAAAGGAAATCCTGGTACCGTCTTCGGACTTCATATTCACTGGAGTCAAATTCACCCCGGGATGTCTGAAAAACAAAGGCAGAAAAAACAGGCCTAGGTTAAAGTGCCAAAAAATAAAAGAAGAACAAATAGTATTAGACTTAAAAGAAAACCGAATACTTGTGATTCTATTTTGCCTGTGCTATTTGCTTGCTGGTTCTTAAAGGTCAATGATCAACTACTTGAAGAGATAAAACACATCTCATTTGAGCAAGAAATCAAAGTTTTGTTAGAAAAAGAGTCACTTATAATATTAGCCTCCCCCAATGTTTCAAAAGATTTCAATCATTATTTTTGTGTGGTGTTTTCCTTTCAGTAATCATTGGTTGTGTTCCTTACTTTTAGGGCACTTCTTTGCAAGTTATTAATAATCCACCAGTGAGGAACATCCATTTTTTTAGCATTCCAAACAAAAGCCCCAGATAGCTGCCATACATCCTCAGGACTTGCTGACACTAGGCAACAATCCCCACATTCAAGAAATGAAAACTTCAGCATATCATAGCAGCAACACTTCCTGCGCTGCTTAACGGACTCTGTGTTCCATGATCACTTCTAGTTTTGTAGCCCTTTGTTAGAACTCGCCAACAAACCTTTAATGAGCAGGAAAAAATGCTTATTACAGGGTTGCAAAGTTGTCAGACCATGACATTTATCACTGCTCTATCTTCTCAAATGAAGCCACGAAGAGACCATGTTTTCAGTAATGTGTGCTGTTCAACATGCATTGTTGCACAGAGATTTATAACGCAAGGCAAGTAAATTCAACAAACCTCCAAACATGCTTTTGTACTCGACATTTTTGAGGGTTGAATAAGAATTCTTTGAGGTATGTGGGAGGAATGCTATTACTTTATCGTCAACAACCAGCACTTCAAATTAAATATGATAAGAAAGGATAGAAGACATAAAAAAGCAAAAGCAATCCACCTTACAGCCCTGCCATATTTGCCTGAAGAGAAAATGTTCTCTTGTCTCCAAAAGCATACATAAAGCGAAAATGATTGCTAGCAATCTCCTGAAGATAGCTCTCTTCCTACTCTTTAAACATTTCATGAAGAATTGATATCTCCTCGTATTTAAGGATGAGTAATTCCCATTTGGAAATTTGGGTTTAAATGAATCTTTTCAAAGGAACTCAAAGTAAAATAAATTAACAGTGCAAGCCTCAACATGCAGCCTGCAGAATATTTGCTGGTAATACCAGAAGAAGCCGGCTGGTCTCACAAGGCTGACTTTCTTCCTTCTTTCTCATCAATAATTTGCATTCAGGACAGCTAAAAATATACCTGCTTGTTTCCTAAGATTTACTTTTACATTGCACAATTATGGCAGCTTCCCCAGAAATAATATGCAACTGTCAATGGGAAACAAACATTCATGTGATAGTGGACACTGCAACTAGAAAGGAATGGAATTAAAAGACATTGCAGCTGGTCACATTTAAGCAAGACAAAGGTCACAAATACTTGGACTAATATTCTGCCTTCAAACTGAATCAGTCCTGCTGCTGTTTCATATTCCTGCTGAAGATCACAACAGAATATGTTATTCTCACTCAGAACTGATGTTGCTCTGGAAGAATTAGTAGCTATTTTCATAGACTCATAGAATCATAGAATGGTTTGGGTTGGAAGGGACCTTAAGATCATACAGTTCCACACACCCGGGACATAAAGAACTTAAGCACTGATGTATGTAGACTTACACTGAGTTTTTTCCAGAACCTACTGCACAGTTTCATACAGTTTTAGTGGTCTGTAACTCATGGCAAAATCAGAGTATAATTTAAACTTAACAAAATCCCAGAGAATGGTAAGCAAGAAGAGTGAAAATGCTCCTACTGTTTAGCAGTGTACACCGTTATAGCCACAAACAGATTCTTACCTTTGTGAGTACCCTATAAGTAATA